AAAAAAAATATGCATTTCTGTATAGAAGCTGGCATATGCCTGCAATTTCATTCAGACCTCATTGGGCCTTTCTCAGGTGAATGACAAGTGTTCAGTGAAACTGTCATGGTATTATATCAGTGGCTTAAAATTTGTGTCCCCAAATTACATGTTTGACCATATTGTTTATAATTTATAAAACAATGTAATATTTTCAGTGAATAACTGAAAAGCAGTTTGTTGGCTGAATTCCAATATGTTAAATTAAGGATGTCACAATTTCTAGTTTTGAGAGTAGTTCTTAAGACTATGGTTCCTAAGTTTGAATTTCGTGGGTTGGAACTTTAGATCCTCCACTTAGTTTTTGGTTACTGTATTTTCTTTAAGTTCTACAAAATCTATTTAAGTAAAAAAAAAAATCTTGTGTCATTTTTATAATTTCCAGTTCTCTACCAGACTTTTTTTTTTTTGGTATCCTAGAACATAAAATGCATACTTTAAATTTTCTATGGGTAAATCTCTATTGGTTCTTTCTGTGAAATCTGGTCTTCTCTTGTGTCAGGCATTGATTGTGTTTTGCTTATGCTACGTTAACATCTAAGTCATGTTTCTATGATTATTTTCCTGCTATTGATCTTTCTTTTTTGTGCACTTTAATTCATTCATGCATTTAATATATACTACTGCCTGTAATTTTGGAGTGGTTTAATATGATTTGAAAGTGTTTCTAGGGGAATTTTATTAAAAATACTGTTATGATTATCTCAGCTTGGGAAAAGAAGAAGTAAGGATTATGAGACCGCTGAAAATGTTTAGATGTTGAATGTTCTGCATCAAGAAAAGGAAGTAGATAAGATCTCTTTTTGTCTTAGGGTTCTATATTTTACTTGGCTGAACATAATAAAGCAACTAAACCTATAATAAGTGGTGGTGTCCTCTGTCTAACGAATTTTTCCTAACAGTAAATAAACCTATTATGACTTAACTTCCACTGGTGAGTTAGCAGCCTTGGTAAAAATGAACTAGGCATGAGCTAGCACACAAGTTGATCTATAAATCCTGATTCTTCAAAACAAGTATCTCAAAACCAATGA